AAGTCTGAGAGATGAGTAGTCCCAGTGTGACACTGAAGGATAATGCACTGGACTGCAAGGTCAGTTTGAGCTGCAAGGTAGATGGTTCAAACTTACCAGTCGCTCCTTAGAAACCCTATGTAGAGTTGCTATGAGTCCGAACCGACTCAATGGCACTTAGCAACAACAAGGAGAGATGAAGTCTGTTCTTTGTGGTTTCCAAGGAGCAGCCTGGTTGTACTTCGTCCAAGACAGATTTGTTTGTTCTTTTGGAAGTCCATGATACTTTTTAAAATTGTCTCCAACACCAAAACTCAATGCATCAGTTTTTCTGTGGTCTTCCTTTGTTGTTGTTGTTAAGTGCCGTCGAATCGGTTCCGACCCATAGCGACCCTGTACAGGGTTTCCGGGGGTGTATACTCATTGTCAAACTTTCATATGCATATGAGGCTATTGAAAATATCATGGTTTTGGTCAGGCATACTTTACACTTCAAACTGATATCTTTTCCTTTCAGCATTTTAAAGAGGTCTTGTGCAGCAGATTTGCCCAATATAGTATATCGTTTGATTTCTTCACTGCTGCTTCCATGAGTGTTGATGGTGGATACAAGTAGAATTAAGTCTTTAGAGATATGGAAATACATCTTGAGAAGTTGACATATGAAGCTAAGATATTAAAGGTGAAGAACAGTTAGCCATATGTAGAAAATGGTGTATCAAATAACTTATAATGAAGTTTATTATAGGAAAATACATATAACGTGAAAATTGTGATTTTAGATATTTTCAAACATGCATTGCACTGGGCAAATCTGATGCTACTACTGCTGGGGAAAGAAGAAAGTGTTACAAAGCAAACATATCACTTTGAAAAGAAAGGTGTGCCTAACTCAAGCCATAGTATTTTCATTTGCCTCATATGCATGCATAAGTTGGACAATGTATAAGGAAGACTGAAGAAGAATTAATGCATTTGAATTATGGTTTGGTGAAGAATATTGAAAGTACCATGGACTGCTAGAAGAACAAACAACGATTTATTGGAAGAAGAACAGCCAGAATTCTCCTTAGAAAGAAGGATGGCAAGACTTTCTCTCTCTCACTTTGGACATGTTACCAGGAGGGACTAAGCCCTAAAGAAAGACATCATACTTGATAAAAGAAGGTCAGCTAAAAAGAGGAAAGCAATCAGCGAGATGGACTGGATACAGCAGTGTGCTAAGGGGAAGTGAGGGAAAAACAGCAATGAAGCTGCGAGCAAAGTCCTATGATGTTCAGTAGACTCTTGTGAACCCAGGTGGAGACCTGGTTGGCCAGCAGTGTGGCAAGATCTGGGGACTCTTGGGCCCAGAATCAGTAACATAACCACTGAAGACTAGAGTGGAGAGTGAAGCATCCAGCCAATAAGAAGAGAGGGCATATGCACAAGAACTCCCACACTTGCAGATAATGCCCACTTGACCTGGCTTCAATGACCGGATGATCAGAGCTCAACAAGAAGAAAAAAGAAGAGGAAAAAAAGAGTAATCTGATACAATTTCATGAACTTGACCTACAGCAGTAGCTCAAAAGAGCGAACAAATCGTTACAGCAAGGATCATTCCTACCTCCTCTGTACATAGAGCAAACAGGGATGGGCAACTTGGACATTGGCTACCCAAAATGGGGGGATACAAAGGCAAGAAGTGACTAGCTTACAAGCTTTCAATAGGAAGCTTAGATCCAGAGGGCCGTCAGGAAGGTAAAATCTCCACTGACTAGTATCTAATCAGTCTGTGCAAGGCTAATGAAAAGAGATGCAGATAGGTGTCTTGTGATACAATAGTGAATAATTGTTATCAGGATTGATTGTGAGGGTTGGAAATGTAGATGTTTTGTAGCAAGAGGCAGGGAGTGATTGAGTTTTCAGTCTAGGAGCGGAGGTCCCTGGGACCGTCAAGGGAGAAGAGCGGAGAGAGGGACCCTACCCAGAGGAGCAGTGACGCCAGAGATGGAGGCAGAGGTGATGACGCTGAGAGATGGAGTGTCTGGGGACTTTAGACCCAGAGAGGGAGAGGGGCTGTGTGCTGATGACCGGGGGGCAGGCTTGCAGGGTATACCCTGTGGTTGGTTGATGATGCATGGTAGGGATTTTAACCACGGCAATGAAATGATATACAATAGGATGAATGTAAAACTAATATTCTCCCATGTAAACTATCACATAATTCACAATAAAACATTAATTTAAAAAAAGATTATGAAGCATTTGTTCTAAGAATAATAACCGGTGATGAATCATGGCTTTACCAGTACGATCCCTGAAGAAAAAGCACAATCAAAGCAATGGCTACCAAGAGATGGAAGTGGTCTTGTAAAAGCAAATGTACACTGGTCAGGAACAAAACTCTTGGAAATCATTTTTTGGGGTATTCAAGGCATTTTTCTTGTTGACTTCTGGAGTACTAAATAATGATAACATCTATTTAGTATGAGAGTGTTTTGAGAAAGTTAGCCAAGCATTAGCAGAAAAATTCCCAGGAAAAGTTTCACCAGAGAGTCCTTACACACTGCAACAATGATTTTGGAAAAAGAAGAGGAGGAAGAAGTATGAGAAAGGAAGTATAAGATGGAAGAGGTGGACTGCTACTGACCTTTATTCAGTCCTTAGTATGTGCCAGGGCCTTATGTGGAATATCTCATTTATCCCTTACAGCAACTTCACAGTGATGGGTATTGAGACTAGAAATTCTGGTGACAGACCTTTTGCTTCCAACTTCTGAGCTACCTCTTCACTAACTACTTCTCTCTGAATAGTCTCTTTTTAATTATTCTATTTTCTGTAAGTGTGAAGATGGCCTTTTACCCAGCTAGGAATTTAATCCAGAATTACTGCAAGTTTCTTTACCGTGTCCCTATCCTGACATAATTTTAAGTTTTATCCTTTTCTCAACTTTCAGGTCCAGAAATGTGTAAAATGTCAGAGGATGCTTCTGTATGAGGGTCTTCTAAAAATTCATAGAAATTTTCCTTTTTTTCCCTCGTTCCATTTTTTCATGAAGTTTTTGAAGCCTCCTTGTACTGTTTGAGGATGAAATATGATATCTTCCTGCTGTCACTTTTCTTTAGATATGGGTGCCTTATAACAATCAGCTGATTTGCTGTGCTTGGGGTGGGGTGGGAAATATGTCATCCTGGCATCAGATTTCTTAATAGTTATTTAACTAACATTAGTGGTTATTGTTGTTGTTAACTGCCGTTGAGTCAGTACTGACTCATAACAGCCCTATATAAGATTTCCAAGGAGCAGCTGGTTAGTTTGAACTATCAACCTTGTGGTTAACAGACTAGTGCTTATGCTACAGTGCTATACCAGGACTCAACAATATTATGTGTAGATATATTTTATAATTTAGTATTATAGATAAATGCTAAAAATAAAAATTAGTCCTGGGTTTCATGTATGTTTTTAGTTTCTTCTTAAATTGCAGGAATACAATTCTGTCCCTTTGAATATATCACAGAAACTCACATGGTTTTCATAAATATTTTCATTCATTTTAACAAAATATAGAGTCAACCATTCTTTTCCAAGAAAACCAATCTCATGCTGAAATTTTAAAAAATTCCTTTGCTTTTGTTTTTCAGACTTTGAATAATGAGATGAGTACAAATGATGACAGTGAAGAAAAGGAAAGTTACATCTGCGCAGTGTGTCTGGATGTTTATTTCAACCCTTATATGTGTTACCCTTGCCACCACATCTTCTGCGAGCCCTGCTTAAGGACTCTTGCCAAAGACAATCCTGCAAGCACTCCTTGCCCTTTGTGTCGAACAATTATTTCTAGAGTCTTTTTCCAGACAGGTAATTATTCTTTTTCATTAACTTGATTGCCTGATTATTTTAAAGATCGCTTTATTCTATTTCAAAAGGTACTTTATAAATTATTATGAAAATTATATGCAGCATACTTTGCTAGTCTTGAGAACTTGTATACATACTTGTTATTACGATTGCAAAAAAAGTGTGCTGATCCTTATTCATTTTAACTGAGCCATCTTGATTATTTAAATATTTCCTTTAAGTGCTTAAAACATTTTCTTTCTCTGGATTATTTTGGTTTATACTTCATAATTTTTTTTTTAATTTTGTTTAAATAAGAGAGATTATGACAAAATAAGACTAGTTACTCTTTGCTGACCATTTTACATTAATATTACAACAAAGATTAACCACTACATTAACAGAAGTTTTTCGTTGGATATAGTCCACCTCTTATCAGTCAGTTTGTTGTACTGTGGTGACTTGTGAGTTGCTCCGATTTTGGAAGTTATGCCATGGGTATTTTAAATACCATCAGGATCACCCATGGTAGACAGGTTTCAGATGAGCTTCCAGACAAAGACAGTCTAGGAAGAAGGAATGACGAACTACTTCTGAATATTTAGTTACTGAAAACCTGTGAATAACAGAGAAACACTGTCAACTATAGTGCCAGAAAATGAGCCCCTCAGGTTGGAAGACACGCAAAATGTGACTGGAGAAGAGATGCCTCATCAAAGTAGAGTGGACCGTGAAGATGCAAATGGAGTAAATCCTGTGGGAGTAAAGCCCTCAGGACCTTCATTTGCTGATGGGGCACAACTCAAAATGAAAAGAAACAGCTGTATACATGCATTAATAATCAGAACATGAAGTATGAATCTAGGAAAATTTGAAATTGTCAAAAATGAAATGGAACACATAAACATCAGTATCTTAGGCATTAGTGAGCTGAAATTCACAGGTATTGGCCATTTTGAATATGACAACTGCATGGTTTACTACGCCGGAAATGACAAATTGAAGAAGAATGGTGGTGCATTCATTGTCAAAAATAACATATCAAGATCAGTCATGAAATACAACGTTGTCTGTATTAGGATAATATTCATGCACCTACAGGAAAGACCAGTTAAAACCACTATTATTCAAATTTACGCAACAACCTCCAAAAGCCAGTGAGGATGAAACAAAAGAATTCTACTAACTACTTCAATCTGAAATTGACCAAACATGCAATCAAGATGTATTGATCATTACTGGTGATTGGAATGCAAAGGTTGGGCACAAAGAGGAAGGATCAGTAGTTGGAAAATATGGCGTTGGTGATGGAAATGATGCTGGAGATCTCATGATAATATTTTGCAAAATCAATGATTTGTTCATTTCAAATACCTTCTTTAGAAGCAGAAGAGATGATTATACAAATGGACCTTACCAGATGGAATGCACAGAAATCAAATTGACTACATTTGCTGAAAGAGATGATGGAAAAACTCCATACCATCAGTCAAAACAAGGCCAGGGGCAGACTGTGGTACAGACCATCAATTGCTCATAATCAAATTCAGACTGAAGCTGAAGAAAATGAAAACAAGTCCACAAGAGCCAAAATATGACCTTTAATATGTCCTGCCTGAATTTAGAAATCATTTGAAGAACAGATTTGTACATTAAACACTAAAGACCAAAGACCAGAAGAGTTGTGGAATGACATCAAGAACATAATACAAGACGAAAGCAAATCATCCATCATTAAGAAAACAAGAGAGAAGGAAAAGGTCAAAATGGATGTCAGAAGAGACACTGAAACTTGCTCTCCAGCATAGAGATGTAAACCAAATGGAAGAAATGAGGAGGCACAACAGCTGAATAGAAAGTTTTAAAGATCAGCTCAAAGATAAAGTCAAATATTACAGCAAAATGTGCAAAGATTTGGAGTCTGAAAACCAAAAAGGAAGAACACACTAAGCATTTCTCAAGCTGGGGGAACTGAAGAAAAAATTCAAACCTCGATTTTCGTTATTGAAGGATTCCTAGGCAAATTATTAAATGATGTAAAAAGCATCAAAAGAAGTTGGAAGGAATACACAGAATCACTGTACTAAAAGGAAATGGTTGATGTTCACCTGTTTCAAGAGGTAGAATATGATCAAGAGCCAATGATACTGAAGGAGGAAGTCCAAGGTGCATTGAAGGAATTGGCAAGAACAAGGCAGGAATCAATGGAATCAAATTTGAAATCTTTCAAGAAAGTGAGACGACACAGGATGTACTCACTCATCTATGCCAAGAAATCTGGAAGACAGCTATCTGGCCGACTGATTGGAAGAGATCCATATTTGTGCCCATTCCAAACAGAGGTGACCCAAGGAATGAAGATATCATTGAACAATATCTTTGATATCCCATGTAAGTAAAGTTTTAATAAAGGTAATAAAGAAACAGCTACATGCGTACATTGACGGAGAACATGCAGAGGGTCAAGCTGGATTCAGAATGAGGGATATCATTGCTGACATCAGATGGATCTTGGCTGTAAGCAGCGAATACCAGAAAGATGTTTACCTGTGCTTTATTGACTACACAAAGAGTTTTGATTGTGTGGATCATGACAAGCTATGGACAACATTGCAAAGTATGAGTATTCCAGAACACTTAATTGTGCTCATGAGGAATCTGTACCTGGACCAAGAAGCAGTTGTTCAAACAGAACATGCAACACTGAATGGTTTAAAATTAATAAGGGTGTGTGACCGGGTGTATTCTTTCACCATACTTATTCAACCTGTATGCTGAGCAAATAATCTGAGAAGCTGAATTATATGAAGAAATACGTGGCATCAGGGTTGGGGGAAGACTCATTAACAACCTGCGATATGCATATGATACAACCTTGCTTGCTGAAAGGGAAGAGGACTTAAAATACTTACTGATGAAGATCAAAGAGCACAGTCTTTGTTATGAATTGCATCTCAATGTAAAGAATACAAAAATCCTCACCACTGGACCAATAAACAATATTCTTACCAACAGAGAAAAGATTGAAGGTTGTCAAGAACTTCATTTTCCTTGGATCAGCTGTCAACACTCATGGAAGCAGCAGTCAAGAGATCAGACGACGTATTGCATTAGGCAAATCTGCTGCACATGAACTTTTTAAAGTGTAGAAGAGCAAAGATGTCAGCTTGAGGACTAATGTGCGCCTGACCCAAGCCATGGTATTGTCAGTAACCTCATATAGATGTGAAAGCTGGACAGTGAATAAGGAAAACTGTGGAAGAATTGATGCCTTTGAATTATGGTGTTAGAGGAGAATACTCAAAGTGCCATGGGCTGCCAAAAGAACCAATAGATCTGTTTTGGAAGAAGTGCAGCCAGAGTGCTCCTTAGATGCCAAGTTGGCCAAGCTTCATCTCTCATACTTTGGACATATTGTCAGGAGGGAACAGTCTCTGGAGAAGGATATCATGCTTGGTAAGATGGAGGCTCAGAGAAAGAGAGGAAGACCCCCAATGAGATGGTTTGGCCAGGTGACAGCATCGATGGACTCAAATGTGGCAACAGTAGTGAGGTTGGCCCAGGATCGGGCAGTATTTTGTTCTGCTTTGTATAAGGTCACTATGGGTTGGTACCGACTCAATGGCACCTAACAACAACAACAACTTCACACAGGGATCTCTGTAGCATAGTGGTTACGAATTGGACTGCTAATCTCAAGGTCAGCAGTTCGAAACTACCAGTGGTTCCGCGGGAGAAAGAGGAGGCTTTCTGCTCCCATAAAGATTTACAGCCTCGGACACCCTATTCAGGATTGCTATGGCTTGGAATCGACTCAATGGCACTTAACAACAACAATTTCAAACACAGTTTTGTTCGTTTTTCTGGCAGTTCAGGGTACAACACATTTTCTTTGCCAGCACCATAATTCACATGTATCCGTTATTCTCTGTTCTTTCCTAGTCACTCTCCAGCTTTCATGTGAATATGAGGTGATTGAAAATACTCTTGAGTCTGTGATAGATGCACCTTAGTCTTCAAAGTGACATCTTGGCTTTTTAACACTGAAGAGGTCTTTTGCAGCAGATTTGTTCAGTGTAGTAGTACATCGTTTGGTTTCTTGACTACTGCTTCCATGGCCTTTAATTGTGGATTCAAGTAAAATGAAGTCCTTGCAGTTTCAATCTCTTCTCCATTTATTGTGATATTGTTAATTGACCAAGTTGTGAGGATTTGTGTTTTCTTTATGAAGAGGTTTAATCTATATTGAAGACTGTAGTCTGTGATCTACTGAGTTTTAAGTGCTTCAAGCCTTTTTGGCTTTGTTGTTGTTGTTAAGTGCTGCCCAGTCAGTTACAACTCATAGCAACCCTATATAGAGTTTCCGAAGAGTGACTGGTGAATTTGACCCGCTGCCCTTGTGGTTCAAACCAACTTTACAGTCCAGCACATTAACGCACAGCACCACACTAGGACTCCATTATTTGTTGTTATGTGCCATGGAGTCAGTTCCAACTCATAGCAACCCTGTACAGGGTTTCCGAGAAGTAGACCATATAATTGTCTAATTCAAAAATGACTAATACCATTAAGTTTTCACTAAATCAATATTAGTTTTCTAGCATTCCATTTCTGATAACTTCCAGCTGTCTTTGATTAATATTTCATAAATGTCACAGTCCAATTACAAATGGATGTTTGAAGCTCTTTTGAGTCTTGCTACATCAGCAAATGAAGGTCTCAAAGTATTACTCCGTTAATGTAATTAATGTCAGCTGTACTTTGAGCAATCAGATAGTGTTCTGCTGCTGTCCACAAGGTTTTTACTTGCCAATTTTTTTTTCAAAAGCAGATTCTCAGGTTCTTCTTCCTAGTGTGTTTTAGTCTAGAAGGTCTGATAAAAACCTGTTCAGCATGGGTTACCTTGCTGGTATTTGATATGCCAATGACAGCTTCCAGCATCATTGCAACTTTCAAGCCACCACAGCCCAATAAACTGGCAGACAGGACTAGTCTCTTCAATAATTCCTGTGAGGACAGAT